CTAGATGGGTGGGGGGCACCCTGGGCACCCCGACCTGCCCCATACCAGCTCGCTGGGGTCCCCGGTTGGATGTGGGGGTACAGTGGGACCCCAAGCCCTGCCACGCACCATCTCGCTGCAGCTCCCCAGATGTTCCCTGCAGCCCCTCCAGCTGTTGCCCCTCGCCCTGCCGCTCCTTGGGGACAGCGCCCGCCACGTCCCCATAGCGCCCCACAGCTCTGCCCCATAGGCGCCCCCCGGCCAGGCCCTGGGGGGGGCGGGCTGGGCAGCGGGGCCGACCCCCGGCCACGGGGCGGGCTGGGGAAGGGGCCGGGCAGCCGGGGGGCGGGCGCCGAGGGCGGGGACGGGGCGAGCGCCGGAGCGGAGCAGAAGCGGCGGCGACACCGGCGGCACCGGAGCCCACCCAGGACCCCCCCCAACCCCGGACCCGCCGCCACCACCGCCCGGGACGCAGAGACGAGGGCAGAGGCGCGCAGGTTTGTTGGATCATTTCACATGCTTTATTTCAGCAGTCAAAATAATTAAAAACACCTCAAATTATTTTATACATATACAAACTAGGTACAGACTCCTCGGACGCCCGGGCCCGTCCGCTTGGCCGGGAGATGGGCTCGCAAACGGGGTGGGTTCGGGTCCCCCCCASCCGGCTCCCCCCGCGGCGAGGGAGCGCGGGAAGAGCGAGGAAGAGGAAGGGCGGGAGGAAGGAGCCGGGGCGGCAGGAGGGGAGAGCGGCGGAGGAGCGGCGAGGAAGAAGAGGGATGCGGGGAGGAAGGGGAGACAGAGAGGAGAGGCACCTGCTTAACCTGGGCTGCGTCGCCTGCTTTTCGACCCCTGCCGAGGCTTTGTTTTTGGGGCTCTGCCTTGTGCTTTGGCTCCGCGCCTCGCTTTTAGGATGCGTGTGTGTAGGGGGAAAATAGCACCTTTGGAAAATTCACAAGTCGACCTGGGCAGCAAAGAGGGGGGGGGGAAATAAAATAAAAGGGAAAAAAATAACAGAATTCAACCCAAGACGCGCGTCTTTTCAGACGGTTCCTGTGTCTGTAGCACCAAGCGGTCCCGGGGCTGAGGCTGCGCGGTGAGACCGAAATAAAACCGAAGCAGAGGGGGGGAAATTAAAAAGGATGAGAATTTGGGGTGTAAAAAAAGGAGAGAGAAWAAAAGGAATTCCTGTGATTCCAGGTGGACCTTGAACAGAGTGGAGGGGAGGAAAATCAACATAGCAACAGAAAGGAGAGGGAAAAAAGAGACAAAACTTAGCACCTTTGCTGTGAATCTGGCAGGAAAGTCCCGGCACGGCTGAAAAACCCCAGACGAACCTAAAACTACTTGGAGGCAAAAAAAAAAAAAAAAAAAAAAAAGGCAAAAAAAACAGAAAAAAGGAAAAAAAAAAAAACCACAGCTGTGAGGTAGCCTTCCAGAAAAAGGAGAATTTACACTGAACGGTCCGGTTTTCTCTGCTCCAGGGATTTGGCTGCCGGGGTTTTTTGCCTCGGGGGGGCCCCGGGGCTCGTCTTTGTGGGGAGCGCTCGGCGCCGCATCCGGGCTCGCGGGTCCCCGGGGTTTGGTTGGGCTCTGAGTTATTTTTTTKGCTGCCTGAACAAACAAAACAGGGGAAAAAAAAAAAGAGGARGGGGAGAAAGCAAGTTACGAGTTAAACATCTTCCTTTCAGTGGTCTGTATCATATATATATGTTTTTAAAGGTAAAAACAGAGAAGTGCACGTAGCGGAGAGCCTGGCGGAGCAGGTGGGTTAGTTTGGGGGGGCCGGGGGCAGGCGGCACCGGCGGGTCCCTCCCTGCGGATGCACCGGGATCGAGGGCCAGAGACGCTCGGTGCRGGGCCAGAGATGGACCGGCACCGAGGAAGAGGAGGAGGAGGAGGTGAAGGAAGAGAGGAGAAGGGCAAGCAAGCGAACCCACTTCCTGGTTATTTGGTTTGAAAAGTCATTTATTTTTTATTTTTTATTTTTTTTTGGTTTAATGCTTTTTTAGGATTTTTTTTGTTTTTTATGGAAATGAAAATAGTTTGAGCGACGCTGGATAGAAAACGACACAAATTCAAGTCTATGTGAAATTTTCTCCTTTTTTGGCTGTTTTTTTTATGTTTTTTTTCTTTTTTTTTTTTTTTTATTATTATTATTTACTCTCTCCTGTACGCGTGGGGTTTCCGGTTTACAAGAAGCAGACGGGGCCGATGTCGATGCCGAATTCCTGGTCCGGAGCGCCAACGTCCATGGGGGCCACGTCGATGATGGGCAGGCGAGAGGTCTTTGTCGTCTTGTACTCGATGACTGTCTTGCCCCAGGCTCCCGTGTGACTCTGCCAGGGGGGAAGGGGACAGTCACGCTCGGGACTGTCACGGGGACCCCCCGTCCGATGTCCCCCGTGATGCCACCGCCACTCACCGTGCAGCCGTCCTCGGTGACGCCGTAGGTGAAGCGGCTGTTGCCCTCGGCGCGGATCTCGATCTCGTTGGAGCCCTGCAGCAGCAGGGCCTTCTTGAGGTTGCCGCTGTCGCGGTCCATGTAGGCGACGCTGTTCTTGCAGTGGTAGGTGACGTTCTGCGACGCCTCGGTGGACATCAGGCGCAGGAAGGTCAGCTGGATGGCCACGTCGGCCGGGTTGGAGCCCTCGCCGCCGTATTCGAACTGCGAGGGAGGAGGAGTTGGCTCAGGCGCTGCTTGCTCATTGCCACCGCAACCATCATCATCACAGGACCCTCATCGTCACCCCCATGGCCACCACGGACCATCATCGCCGCCGCCACCAGCATGGCCATGGCCACCAATGCGGCCCCGCGCTCACCTGGAAGCCGTCGCTCATCGTTTCGCCGAACCAGACGTGCTTCTTCTCCTTGGGGTTCTTGCTGACGTACCAGTTCTTCTGGGCGATGGTGGCCTGGGTTGGGTAGACACAGGTCTCTCCCGTCTCCATGTTGCAGAAGACCTTGATGGCGTCCAGGTTGCAGCCTTGGTTGGGGTCAATCCAGTACTCGCCTGCGGGGCACAGAAAGGGCCGTCAGCACCGGGAGCCGGTGGCGGTGGCCCGGGCCGGTGACGGGCACCGAGGGCACCCCACGGACCGCTCTTCCAGTCGCCGTGGCACATCTTGAGGTCGCGGCAGGTGCGCGCAGGGTTCTTGCGGGTGCCCTCGGGGCTGCGGATGTTCTCGATCTGCTGGCTCAGGCTCTTGAGGGTGGTGTCCACCTCCAGGTCGCGGTCGCGCATCACGTTGGCGTCGTCGGCGCGGTAGTAGCGCCCGCCGTCGTGCGCCTTCTCTTGGGGCGGCTGGGGCAGGAAGCTGAAGTCGAAGCCGCCGCTGGGGGGACCGGGAGGACCTGGGGGGCCGGGAGGCCCCGGGGGACCCTGGGGTGGGATGGAGAAGAGCGAGATGAGGCGCGGAGGCTCCGCGGGGACCGGGCAGCGGGCGAGCGGGGCTGCTACGTACGACGGGGCCGACGTCACCGGTGCGGCCGCGGGGACCGGGCGGGCCGATGGGGCCGGGGAGCCCGTTGAGACCGTCCTTGCCGGCGGCGCCGGCGGAGCCGGGGGGACCCTGCGTGGGGACGAGAGGAAGGGCTGAGCGCCCAGGGGACCCCGCCGGCACGGGGGGGCCCGGGCGCCTGCCACGGGGGCGTTACTCACTCGGGGACCGGCGGGACCAGAAGCACCAGAAGGTCCTTGTTCACCGGGTTGTCCCTGTGCGGAGCAAAGAGAGAGCCCATTGGCACCGCGTTCACCGCGGCCCGCGCGGGGCTGCTGCAGTGGCAGCTGTGTCCCCACGGGTGGCCTTGGCAGCACGAGCACCCTGGGGACCCAGATGTTGTCCCCACCCCGAGCTCTTTGGGGTGATGCTGCAAGCGGGCCACCCTGCGCAGGAGGCAGAGGGACTTACGGGAGGACCGGGGGGACCCTGGAGACCGGAGAAGCCTCTGTGACCCTTCATGCCTCTGTCACCTTGTTCACCAGTTTCGCCTTTGTCACCGCGGGGACCTTGTGGGCCCTGCAGGAGGAGGAGGAGGAGGAGGAAGAGGTGAGGTGCTGGGCACCGCGGGGCTGCGCCGGGCCGGGCGCTGCCCGGGTGCCCGCGGGGTTGTCACCGTTTGGGGACGCAGAAGTCGGACTTACAGCAGGACCGCGAGCACCAGCAGGACCAGGGGGGCCAGCGGGACCAGCAGGGCCCTAGAGCAGGGGGACAAAGGGCACGGGTCAGAGCACCCGCGGGCGCCTCCTTTGCAGCGGTGGGGACACTCGGGTCCCCAGGACGCCCGGGTCCCSTCGGCAGCGCCCGGAGGGGAAGCTCCCTCCAGCGGCGAGAGCCGGACCCAGGGCCGGGCTTGGATCCAGGCCGGCGGCCAGGACTCCTGGGCCCCTGCGGCGGGGCGGGGRGGGCAAATGCCCCCCTGCAGCCGGGGCAGGGCTGGGGCGAGCGGGCAGAGCGTCACTTACRGTCTCACCGCGGTCTCCGTTCTTGCCAGCAGGACCAACGGGGCCGGGGGCGCCGGGGGCACCAGGAGCACCAGGGGGGCCAGCAGGGCCGGTCTCACCACGGTCACCCTACGAGGAGGAGGAGGAGGAGGAAGCAGAGAGGTGTCGGCGTGCAGCCGCTCTCAGCCCCGCCATCCCCATCGCGCCGGCCCGTCCGAGGGCGCTCACCTTGGGACCGGCAGCACCGTCGCGCCCCGGGGCACCTTCGGCACCAGGAGCACCCTGCGGAGGAGCAAAGAGCCCTCGTTAGGGCGGGCGAGCGCTAACGAAGGCACCCTGACAGGCTCCGTCCCTCCTCGATGCTCATGGATGCCACGAGTTTGCACGTGCTCAGCAGGACCGTTCTGGCGCCGCCAAGCCCGAGCCCCCCRTGTCCCTGGGGGRAAGGGGACSGTCCCCTGTGTGCCACCGCTGCTCACCTCGCGTCCAGCTTCACCAGGGGGGCCAGCGAGCCCAGGGGGGCCCATGGGGCCGGGAGGACCGCGCTCGCCGGGGGAGCCAGAGGGACCTTGCTTGCCGGGTTCGCCCTGYGGAGCGGAGAGGAAGGCGCAGCGTTGGAGCAGAATCCCAGCGGGAAGACGCTCCCGCCGGGACCGAGGAGCTGGAGCCGTCGTTGAGCGAGCCGGAAGGCTGCAGGCTGCGCCCCGCGGGGGTCCCGGCGGCACCCGGGACGCCCCGGTGCCGCGTGCGGCGCCGCGTCACTCACCGACGGGCCGGGCAGGCCGGGRAAGCCGCGCTCGCCGCGCTGGCCGGGCAGGCCGACGACGCCGCGCTGGCCGGCGATACCTTGGGGCCCGGGAGTGCCGGGAGCGCCCTGCGGAGGGGGACACGCGGCTCAGGGTCCTGCTGGCGCCGCCGCGGCCCCGTCCCCAGCGTGGAGACGCCACGGCGCCGCGCCAGGCACGGCCGCACTTACGATGGGACCGTCGGCGCCAGGAGAGCCCTTCTCGCCGGGGGGGCCGGGGGGGCCGGCGGGGCCCGGCTCGCCGGGGCGCCCAGCGGGGCCGGTCTCACCGCGGGGTCCCTTGCCGCCTTCCTTGCCGCTGGGGCCGGGGGGGCCGGGGAGGCCGATGTTGCCCTGGGACGGGGGGAGAGCGGCTCAGTGGCCGGGCGCGAGGCCAGGGCCGCGCTCGGCGGCCCCCGCCGCGTGAAGGGAATCCAGGTGAGTCCCGCTGCCAAGTGGGACAGGGCCGGGAGCGCCTGGCGCTGCGCCCGGCTCCTCGGCGCCTGGAGCGCAGCCCTGGGCGCAGGGAGTGTCGTCGGAGCGTCGCCCGGCCGCCCCGCGCGCGCCCAGCCCCGGGGGCACTCACCGAGGGGCCGGGGGGACCGACTCTTCCAGCAGCACCAGGGAAGCCAGTAGCACCCTAGAAGGGAGGGAAGCGGTGTGAGGCCGTGCTCGGGAGCGGGTGCGGGCGCCCGCGGGGATGCGCCGGTGCTGTGTGCCAAGGCGGCCCCCTTGGGCGCAGGGCTCGCCTGGGTGCAATGCGCCCCTCGAGCACAGGGTGCCACGGGTGATGCCGCCGAGTCTCGCTCGCCCCTGGGACCTGCAGGGAGCCATCGGTCCAGGGGGAATTACTGCTAACTTGGGGGCATCGGGGCCAACTGTCCCCCTTGGGGACAGCTCTGCCTCCCCCGGCATGAAATGGCTGCAGGCCACACTGGGAATGCAGCGTCCTCCAGGGCCAAATCCCACCGGGAATCTGGCTGTCCGCTCCGGAGCTTCCAGCATCCCCCTCCGCGGTGCCCCCCGCCGCCATCCCCCGAGCCCCGTGCGGTACTTACAGGGGGTCCAGCGCTGCCACGAGCACCTTTGGGACCGGGAGCACCAACAGCACCCTGTGGAGCGGGAGCGGGGTGAGCGCCGAGGCCGCAACGTGGCCCGGGGGGCGCTGGGGGTCGGGGCGCTACTTACGGCAGGGCCAGGAGCACCAGTGGGGCCAGCGGGGCCGGGGGGACCCGCGTCACCCTTGGCTCCGGCGTCRCCAGTTTCGCCTTTAGCACCAGGCTGGCCGTCAGCGCCCTGCGAGAGCGGAGCGAGGTGAGGCCGGCCGCATCCCACGGGAGCGCATCCCGCCGGCTGCCGGGTAGCGCCGTCCCCCTCTCCGATGGGGGATCCCATCCCGTCAGCTCCCGGGTAGGACCGTCCCCCTCTCCCACGGAGCCGGAGTGGGAAGCGGGCGGCTACCCGCGCCTGGGGTGACTTACGGGAGGGCCAGCAAATCCAGCAGGACCAGGGGGGCCGGGCTCGCCGCGGTCTCCCTAGGAGAGAAGGCAAGAGCCGGGATGAGAGCCGGCTGGGAACGGGCTGCGCCGGGGGGACACGGGTGGCCAGACACTTACGGGAGCACCACGGGCACCGGTGGGACCAGCAGGGCCGGGGGGACCAGCTTCACCCTGGCGATGGGGAGAAGGGAAAATGGGTTAAAAGCTCTGGAAAGGAGGCACGGAGACGTGGCGGGTTGGAAGGAGCCTCCGCTGCGCGGCGTCCCTGCCCGGTGCCACCTCACCTTGTCACCAGGAGCACCAGCTGGGCCGGGGGGGCCGATGGGACCGGTGAGACCRCGGAGACCGTCTTTGCCGGGAGCACCGTCAGCACCTTTGGGACCGGGATCGCCCTGTGGGAGAGGAAGGCCACGGTGGCTTAGAGCTCATCATCATCCTCCCTGCGGCGCTCCGGCCCCTGCCGCTTCCAGCCGGGAGAGGCAGGAATCTCTCTCCGTCTCCGGAGGAAAGCCCCAGGCTGGCTCCCGGCCTCCGAGGGCTGGGATTGTGCAAGGACAYGAGTGGGACAAGGCGTCCAGCCGCCGAGGATGGAGAGAGGAGCAGGAGGATGCGGCACGGGGAGGGGGACCCGCGGGGACACCTACTCTGTCACCCTTGGCGCCTGGCAGGCCGGCAGCACCGCGTTCTCCGGGCATTCCCTGCAGACCGGGCGGCCCTTGGTTTCCAGGAGCACCAGGAGCACCAGCATCACCCTGGGAAGAGAGAGAACAATCCCGCGTTAGTGAGAGACCCGAGCAAGGCCTAAAATCCAGAGCAAACTGCAGGAAAAGCCTCCGCCAGCAGGGCCCCTTGCAGGTGGCCCTGCAAGTCCCGTGTCACCAGCTCCCAGCAAGAGTGGGGCACAGAGGAGCCCATGACCCCCCTTTTGGGCTGCTCTGGAGGAGCCACCAGCTGGGGACAACCCCCAGGATGGTCCCTACACCGGCTCCCACTGGGGTGGAGAGGGCAGCTCGCACCTACCTTAGCACCGTCGTTACCGGGAGCACCATTAGCACCGCGGGGACCCTGGGGACCRGGGGGACCTTGGACGCCGCGTTCGCCGGGGAAGCCCCTCTCGCCCTGCGGAAGGGAGGGAAGAGCCGGTTACGGAGGCGGYGGCGCGGAGGGCAGCTCGGAACGACGGCAAGCTGAGACGGGACTTACTCTGGCACCGGCGGGACCGGGAGCGCCGGCGTCTCCGGGGACACCCTGCGCGGGGAAGCAGAGGGATTTCGGCGTCAGCGCGGCGCGGAGGTGAGCGCCCAGTGAGCGCAGCGCCCACCACTCTCCTGCCACCCCAGCCCATCCTGGAGCTCCGGGGTATCCTTAGGGAAGGCCAGGGCCTCCGCAGCCTCCCGGAGCGATGGGAGGAGATGGGATCCCATGGGGACCCCCGGGAGGAGACGGGATCCCAYGGGGAGCCCAAAGGGAGGTGGAGGCCGCTCCGTGCTGCCTCCCAGCAAGGCCGGCGCGCTTGGAGGCTGCTCTCCCCCGGGAACGCAGCCAGGGTTTCCCTGGCTCGGGTGGACCAGGCAGGGTGCCCGGGGGCAACCTGGTGTCCCCATCAAGGGGACAAGGACGGGGAGCGAGGCGGGACAGCCCCCAGGCGATGCCCCCTACTCACCTGCTCGCCGGGCTTGCCAGCCTCGCCAGGGGGGCCAGCGGGGCCGGGCAGACCCTGCGGAGGAAGAGGAGGAGAGCAGAGAGGTTGTGAAGGCAGGTGGCAAGAGCTGGAGCGAGCACCCTGCCGTGGCGCGGGCACGGGGGGCTGTTGCTCACCTGGAAGCCGGGAGCGCCAGCGGGACCTTGTTCACCCCTTTCTCCAGCGGGACCCTGCAAAGACGAGGGCGGGCGGTTGGCTCCTCGTGCTGGTCCCCAGGGACCCCGCTCAGCTCCGCGTCGGGAAGGGCTTGTTCATACTCACGGTAGGGCCGGGGGGACCTTGGGCACCAGCTTCACCATCTTTGCCAGCAGCACCCTGAGGAAGAGGAGGAGAGGGGTGCTCAGAGCAGGGCTTGCTCACGGGGGAGCTTGGGGAAGGGTCTAAGGTGGGCAGACCTCCAGCAGCTTCTGGAGGGGCCCCCAAGCCATGAACCCATGGGATCACGGAAAGCTATCCCTAAGGATGCAGGAGGATGGAGCTTGGTGAATCCCCGAGCCACTCGGGGACGTGTCACCTCCTTGCAGAGCTTTTTGTCCCTGCTCCAGAGCCTCTGGCAGTGCCACACCTGACTCAGAGCCGCTGCAAGCTGCTCTTCTGGCCCTTTTTTTTCCATGGAGCCTTCCTAGGACCTCGCTCTGCCAGACCTAGGGCTCCCTGGCAAAGCCCAGCTTGGGGCTGGGCCCAGGGTGGAGTATGTTGGAGCGGGGTACGTTGGAGAGGGGTACGTTGGAACGGGGTACTTTGGAACGGGGTACCTTGGAGCCTTGGGGACAGGCGAATACTTACAACAGCACCAGGGGGACCGGGAGCTCCTCTCTCACCAGGTTTGCCGGGTTCACCCTAAAAACAGGCGAGCAGAATGAGACCAAAGCGGGACCGTGACTCCTCCAGCCTTCGTCCCCCTCAGCAGGACGTGGCTCCCCATTGCCCTCCCTGGGAACACGTCCCCTGAGCCACCCCTTCCCGCGGTGCCCATCCCGAGGGAGCCAGTGCGCCCCTCTGCATCCCAGGAGTGGTCCAGCTCATCCTTTGAGGACGAGCAAGCCCCAAGGTGGCCTTGGGCAGCATCGTCCCTTGTCACCGCGGGATGTGGCTCCTGCTGATACTCACTGCAGCGCCCTTGGGTCCAGGGAAACCCATGACACCAGCTTGGCCTCTGGCTCCGGGTGGGCCTGGGGGTCCGGGGCGGCCGTCTTGACCAGCGGGGCCCTATCGTGAGGGAAGCAGGAGCCCCGTTAGCCAAGCCCATGGTGAGACACCACGGTGGGGAGGAAGGAGAAGGGGCATCATCCTGGTGTCACTTACAGGGGGACCGGTCTTGCCATCAGGACCGGGGCTTCCAGGGCTTCCAGTCAGACCCTAGAAGACAGCAAATATGGGTTAGGGCATCAGGCTGCCTCTGCGGGCAACAAGGAGCAGGCTGCTCCCTGCAGAACTCGAGTGATTTAGCACCCCTGGACATGGCTTGCTCCATGGAAAGAGCTCTGGAGCTTCCCTGCTGCGCCTGGGGCAGGGCCAGCAGCGGCCACGGCCGTGTCGACGTGGCTTGGTGCTGCCGGCCTGCCAAGCGCTCCGGGCGGCCCTCGCCCGAGCCCCGCGGCCCTCCGCGCGCTCACCTTGGCACCAGGGAGACCAGGTTCCCCAGGGCGTCCAGCTTCACCGGGAGATCCTTTGGGACCAACGGCGCCGGGGGAGCCGCGCTCACCAGGGGGACCCTAGGGAGGGACGGCAGAGCAGACACGGCTTACTCCAGGTGGGGGGTATGGAGCAAGGGATGGGAGCCACGGCAAGGGAGGAAGCAAGGGTGGAGAACCAGGGATGGGAGCCACGGCAAGGGAGGAAGCAAGGGTGGAGAACCAGCCTCGGGATCGAGTGGCCTGGAGCAGGGCGGGGGGCAAGATGACAAAGCCATCGCGTCCCCACCGCCCCATTCAGGACACATCTTTTCCATACAGGTTGGGTTTTGGTACCTACCTTGGGACCAGCGATGCCATCAGCACCAGGGAAGCCACGGCTGCCAGGAGCACCCTGCGAAGGACACAAGAGCGGTCAGTGTGGCGTGAAGGGCACGTGGGGTGGCCGGGGACCCTCGGGCTGCTGGAAATGGGAATGAACTCCAGGGAAGGGGGCAGCTTCAGAGGACTTGGGAGTTCCGGGGAAAGCTGCTCCRATGAGGACTTCAGGAACAGCCCTCAGTGCTTGTGAGATGCTCCAGTGGAGATCTCAAGCACAGGGATCTCCATGAGATGTGGAATGAGGGTGCTGGAAGAGATGGGAATTCCAGGTGGGAATTTCACCATCCCGATGCTTGGTTTAGGAGGTGTCTAGCTCTCTGACAGCAGAAGCCCGGAGCGCCCAGGAGATGGAGCCCCTGGGCAAGAGCTCTGGGGACAGGAGGCAAACTGGATCATGGAGGAAGAGGGATGGGAATGGGACGGACTGGGGAGAGCTCCTACTTACACGTTCACCAGCGGGGCCGGGCAGCCCAGCGGGGCCGGGCTCACCACGGGCTCCTCTCTTGCCTTCTTCACCAGCTGGACCAGGGGGACCTTGGACACCAGCAGGGCCCTGGAGAAGGGGGCAGAGGTGTGAGGGTCCGCAGGGCGTGTGGCACGAGGCTGGGCTCTAATCTGCCAGCAGGAGCCAGGGGGGCTGTGAAGGGGTCACTTACGGGCTCGCCTTTTGCACCAGTGTCTCCTTTGTTGCCTGGAGCACCRGGTTCACCCTGGACGTGGAAGGAGAAAAGAAGAAGAGCTTTTTAATGCCAGGTTCGTAAGTAGAGAGAGCCATGAGCCTCATCCTGTTGGGGTCCTCACAAGGGGAGATGTTCAACATCTCCCAAGGAGCCTTCAGTCCCCCCAGCACCCAGGGCTGGAGATGATGGAGTTGCCAGAGGGAAACATCTCCAGGTAGGGCAACTGGGGCGGAGGAAGGGGCTCAAAGCCRGAGAGAGGGCGGGAGGCTCCTGCTTGGGAAGCGGCCGCAGCAGCCACAGAGCAGGAATCAGGGCTCAGTGCTCAGCATCCCTGCCCGGCCTCGCAAGGGGAAGGAGGCCCCTCCGAAGCAAGGTGGAGAAGGACAACGACACTTACGCTGTTACCCTTGGGACCAGGGGCACCGCTGGGACCCTGAGGTCCAGAGGGACCACGAGCACCGGGGAAGCCAGGAGCACCAGCAATGCCAGGAGCACCCTAAAAAGGGTAGAAGAGATGGTGAGGGAGCTGCACGGACTTGGGTCCTAACAGCCGTGAGCAAAGACGGCATGGAGATGGATACTCACAGTTGCGCCTTTGGCACCAGGTTGACCATCAGCACCAGGGTTGCCCTGAAGAGGAGGAAAACGAAGACGGAGGTTATCCCAGGGCTATCGGGATGCAACATCAATGGGAACGAGCCGTTGGATGCCACTTACAGCAGGACCAGCAGCACCAGCAGGGCCAGGAGGACCAGGCTCACCACGTGCACCTTGAGGGCCTTCGCTACCCCGAGCGCCCTGGGGACCAGTTTCACCCTGGAGAGGAAGAGGAGGAAGAAGAAGCCATGAGCACGTGTGCTACTGTGAGACTTCCTTACATTCCTGGCCTTTCAGGACCTCCACCTCTCTTCCCAGTGGAGCTTGGCTATGGGAAAAGGGATGAATTCCATGTTCTTTTGTAGCCTGGTTTTCCACAGAGCCCTATGGCCTGGAGAGACATCTGAGCCCCATAAACCGCTCAGAGATCGAGCTGGAAAGTCCTTCACCTCCACTGCAGATGAGAAGTGCAGCCACTTTGGCTGCAGACGCGCCTGGCACCAAGCACGGATGGACCCGTAACAGTCTGGGCAAGGTTCAGCTCTGCTCTCTAAGTTTTCAGGCCACATGGGAAACCCATTTGACACTCAATCCTTTCTCCTCCCTTCTCCCTGCTTCCACCAGCTTTTCGGCCTCTCTGCCAAGCCCTCGAGATCTAGAGGTCCCACCTAAGAGAAGAGGGTCAAGCAGCTCCCTACCTTCGCACCAGCAGCACCGGGGAAGCCAGGGGGACCAGCTGGGCCAGTTGGACCCTGTAGCAGAGAGAGGGAGAGAGAGGGGGCATGTGTCAGAGAAGCAATTCCAGTGCACATCTGGAGCTGGCGGGTTTTCTGGGCAGCAGAGCCCTGGCCTCCAGCCAGGATTTCCAAGCTGTGGTCATGGAGCTGAGCTGTGCTTTGGAGTTGGCCAACAAAGAYGAGTTGGAAGGGGCTCTCCCATGCAGGAGTGAGCGAGGCCCCTCCAGGGAAGCCAATGAGGCTCCGGCTAAGGCCAGTTGCTCCAGGAGAGCAGTGTTACCTACCGGGGGACCAGCAGCGCCGGTGGCACCGTCGTTACCGCGAGCACCCTGTAGGCAAGGAGGGAGAGGAGGCTCCCGTCAGCCGTGGTGGCACCAGCCGTGGCTCCTGAGCAAGCCCTGCTTGCCAAGGCCGGGCAGCCCATGGAGGGATGCTCGGGGTGCACGAGGGATACTCACAGCAGGGCCAGAGGGACCAGGGCGGCCTCTCTCACCGGGAAGACCACGAGGACCCTGCGGAGGAGAGCAGACACGTGTCATCAGGAGGGCTTCCTTCGTCACAGGCCTTCTCCCAGCCCTTCCGCCCCTGCCCGCCCTGCGTGGACGTCTCGATGGACCTGCCTCCCTGCCCCAAATCTCCAAAGATTGGACAATCCAAAGATTTGGACAATCTTCAAGGATTGTCCCGGGGCATCGCTGGAGAAGCAGGTCTAGAGGACAAGCTATTCCCCTGCCACCTTCTCGCCCACCACACAGGTCCCTTTGCTCATCAGGGCTGGATTTCTCCCTTCAAGCTTTTCTTGCTCTCGCTTTGAGGTTGGCTGGGAAGAAGAGACCTCCACTCACCATTTGTCCGGGAGCGCCGTTCTCACCAGGGCTACCAGGCTCACCCTAGGGACAAGGGCRAAAAAAATCAGTGATTTCCAAAGGAAATGAAGGAGAGAGAAGTTTGGAGAGAGGGCAAAACGCCCTTGTAGGGGCAGTTCCTCACCTTGGGGCCAGCTGGACCAGGTTCGCCCTTGGCACCATCCAGACCACTGAAACCCTGGAGTGTAGGAGAGAGAAGAGTGAGGGTCAGGAGAAGATCTCGCTGCCTTGGTCAGGGTCAGCATTTGGGTCTAAGAGGGGTTCCAGCCCCTTGCGCCGTGAAGGGCGCGGAGGACAACTGGGTGCTCTTGCAGCCCATGATGCTCCCCTGCCCCACATGCCCACAGGCTCCTGATGGAGTTGGGCGGGTTRGAAGCCACCTGAGGCCTTCAAGAACTTCTAGATCTTAACAGTAACCAAGGACCAACTCACTCTGTGACCCTTCATGCCTGGCAGGCCAGCAGTTCCGGGGAGACCACGTGCACCCTAGGAGATAAAGACAGAGAGTGACCCGAGAGGCCCATGGAGAGGCCCATGCAAGGGTTGCTGTCCTCTGCCCGCTTGTTCCCACCTCCCAGAGAGCAGCTCCTGGGCACATCCTTGCTCCCAGGCTTTGCCATCAGCCACGCCAGGCCCAGCCAGACCATGCATGGATCAACAGGACGTTTTCTGCCAGCAGGGACCAACACAGTGGCCGTGACCTGCTCACAGATRCCCATGGAGGAGGAAGCCACCATCTCCCGAGCATGGTAGACCCTGGAGACATCTTACCTGGGGTCCAGGAGGTCCGCGCTCACCGGGACGGCCGGGCTTTCCAGCTTCACCCTAAGAGAAGGCAAGGAGAAGGACAATTCGTTGGAGGTTGATCCTGAACCACGTGCCCCTGCTCGCCTGAAGACCTTGAATCCACTGGCCCAGCACTGCTAGGGACTTGAGGCCCCAAAACCAGTGAGAGRAGATCCTATCGTCCCCGCAGGACATGGGATCTTGCAGCAGCTACTCACATCATCTCCATTCTTGCCAGGGGGGCCAGCTGGACCACGGGGACCCATGGGACCCTAGAAGAGATAGGGGCGATCAGGGTGAGGACTTGGCCCCTGAGCAAGGCTTCCCCACCACCCTCCCAGCAGGCTGGGTGTTCCCAGGCCCAGGCAGTGCCATTCCCACCGCTCCTGGCCCGGAGCCGAGACAGCTCCAGCTGGAGAAKCCCTCAAGCGGTGAAGGAGGGAATGGCAAGAGCGAAGCCAAGGCTTGGCCTGGGAAAACTCCGTAATCCATCCCAGACTGACAGGATATGAGGAAGAAGGAGAAGATCAGCAGGACTTACAGAAGCACCAGGCTCTCCAGGCTCACCAGGGGGACCTTGGAAACCTTGAGGGCCCTACAAAGAGGAGAAAAAAAGGGGAAAAACTGGTTAGAAAGCGAGCAGCACGGTCTGGGGACGTTGCCCCCCAGGTGACGGTGGTCCCCAGGTGGGGCGGAGTGGACGCTGTGCCAGGTGGGTGCTGTCACCTGTCCCCAGCGCCAGGAAAGGGTGGGAGCCACCGCCTGGCCTGGCGCCCTCCCGCCCCGTCCCTGCCCCTCCATGGGGGGTTTCTCCCAGCGCGGAGCCCAAGGGGCTCTCAGGGCTGGACCCGCGGGGCTGCAGGTGGAGGGCAGGGGTCCGGATCCGCACCGGAGACGACAGATACTCACGGGAGCGCCAGGAGGGCCGGGGAGACCGCGGGGACCAGCTGGACCCTAGGAAGGGAGCAAAGGGAGCGTGAGCGCCGCTCTTCCCACGACATCCCACCCCGCTCCCGCTCGGCAGCCCGGGAACGGCTCCCGCGCCGCCGCTTCTCCCCTCCTTTTACAACATTCCCACCTCCTCCCTGCCGGCAGCAGCGTGCCGGCTGCCCCCGGGATGCTCCTTGGGAAAGCGGGGGGCCCTGGGGGCTGCTCACCATGGGTCCGGGCACRGGCATGCCGCCGGCTTTCTCGTCGTATCCGTAGGACATTTGAGGAGCGAAGTTCTGCGGGAAGGGATTGGTGCGTGAGCGGGGAGGGCAGCGGGGCGCAGCAGGGGACCCCCGTGTCCCCTACGCAGGTCCCCAACTCACCCCGCCGAGGCCGGGGGGGCCAGGAGGGCCGGGGGGTCCCGGGAGGCCGGGCTGTCCGGGGATGCCATCTCTGCCAGGGGGGCCGGGGAGTCCCTGTGGAGAGAGCAGGGATTAGGATGCTCCAGGATGCTCCGTGGGGCAGCCCGGATGGGCCCCGGAGCCGCGCGGCGGGTGCGTGCCRGAGCAGCACCGGGATACGCACCCTGTCTCCTCTGGGGCCGGTGTCTCCCTTAGGACCCTGGCGGGGAGAGAGGAGAGGCAGGTGGTGAGAAACGGGCGGAGAAAATAAGGAAAAATAAGGAAATAACCCTCGAGGCGAGAGCTTGGCGCGGGGCAGCGCTGCGGGGGCTCACCTCTACTCCCGCGGTGTCCGGGTAGGAAGGGGAGGCTGGGGAGAAAGGAGAAGGGTCAGACGGGGGAGAGCCCCCCTGCTCGCTGTCCCCATCCCGTCCCGCCGCGCCGGGATGTCCCCGTGCCGGATGCGGAGCGGGGGGACGAGGCGGCGGGCGCAGGGTCCCCGCGGGCGGGAGGTACCGTGGCTTTCGGGGCAGATGGGGCAGCATTCTCCGAAGGGGATCTCGGCGTTGGGGCAGTCGGAGGTGTCCTCGCAGATCACCTCGTCGCACAGGATGTTGCCGCTGTCGCACACGCAGATCTGGCAGGGCTCGGGTTTCCACACGTCCTTGTCATTGTACATTAGTCCATCCTGTACGCAGCTCCCGGTTTGGACTGGGAGGYGGGGGGAAAGCGGGAGCCGAGTGAGATGCTGAGATTTACGCTCCCGCCGGGGCGCCTGGCGATTCCGACGCGTCCTTTCTGCTCTCCGCTCCCCCCTGCTCTCCCCTCCTCTTTTCCCCCCTCTCCTGGAGCTTTTCTCCCTTCATCTGGTTCTCATCAGCCCGTCGCGGTGACACAGGAAAAGCAGCGCCGCAATAAACTCTTCCCACTTACTTTGGAATTTAAACAAAACCTCCAGCCAGGGCTTACGTCCGACCGCAGCGCCGGCCCGCGGGAGCCGCGGCCAAGGCAAATAGCCCCCCGTGCGGGGCCGGGGGCTCGGCGGGGAGGCCCGGAGCCGCTGCTAGGGAGGGATGCAGGGATCCGCGGTGGATGCAGGGAATGGGAATGGGGTAAGTGGGGCTGGATGAGCAGCGAGTGAGGATGAGGGGGAGCGGGGGCCAGGCGGGCTGGCTCCGTGGCTTGGGTTGAAATGGGATCCAGGCGGATCCGGAGCTGGGACTGGATCGGTCCGGATCCGGATCAGCCGTGCCGCCCGGCCAGGGAAGCGGCTGGAGGCAGGCGGGGGAAGCGGGAGCGCAGGGCAGGGCGCCAGGGCCATGGGCTGGCCCCGAGCGAGCAGGGGGGGGCGCAAGCCAGCCCCATCCCGCCCGCCCTTGCCCTGCTCTGCTTCGCTGGGAAACTCCAAAAAAAAATTCAAAAAATCCCAAAAATGACCAAATGGGGAGAGCGCTGCAGGCTGCAGGGCCCCAGGGACCGCGGGGGTCCCGGCGGGGCGGCTGTGCCCCCCGGCCCGGCACCCCCGGGGGCTGCATCCCCTGGTGGAGGGGGGCCGTGCAACGTCTAGACAGCCCCAGCTTTACGGGCTGCTAAAACATTTTCCTTATGAATCATCCACGGCTTTTTTTTTTTTTTTTTTTTCA